GGGGGGGGGGGATAGTGTTGCCCATGTCTGTCCCGTTGCGTCCCATCCAATGAGCAGGGGTATTTATGTCTTGCAGACATTTTCAAGTTTTTCAAATGTTAATTCCTGCCCCTCCCCCTTGACCGCTCCCTGAAGACAACAATATTTACAACCCTATTCCTTTGTCAAGGTTACACTAAATACTTAAAACAAGAGTTGGTCAACTGTACAACAAGATGGACATTTGAACCCAGGACCTTACCTAACTCTAGACAGCTTAACCGTTTGAGTTACTTGATCCAGTTCCGCTACACTATTAACGCCATGGACCAATTGTTGACGACATAATTGGAAAGCCACTATTAGATATAACCCTAGCTTTCTGCCAGACCAAAATTGTTTTTTCTTATTTGGACAAAAGATAATTTCTCTAGCAATACCTTACCAAGGCCTATTCATGAAACCATTCTCATGCTCAAGCATGGATTTTGTACTCCCAGCAAACTTTCTTGTAAATCGCTTAAACAAGATCAAACGATCAAAATGTCAAATCTAAACATTGAAAACAGTATTAAAATTGGCTTTAAGGTGGCTCCACACTTTCGCAATTAACCAGCAAAATTTGTTGAAACTTTCATATAATGGTTATGCAACTATGTAGAGTTGATTTTATGAAAATCTAAACATTCCGATAGTTTGGGGACATTTTTTGGAAAAAATACCAAAAAATTGAATTTTCGTCAATTTTAATATTTTCTGTTTTTTTGTGTGTGTGGCATTGTTTGGAACAATAACAACAATAATAAAATGAAAAGAAGCATTTCTAATTTACCCTACAAATATTTTATTTATCGCAAAATATGCAACACATGTTACACAAAGTGTCTTTTATTGAATTTGTACAGATAAAAGTGATTATCTACAAGCTAATAAAGCAAACAGGACACAAAGATCTATACATATAGAATGGGAAATTGAACAAAATATACACAATGGCTTTATAATTAATTTATTTTACATTTTGCAATCACTTTGATCCGGGTGAGAGTTATCTTCCTTGAAAAAAATCAGAACTTTTTGCAGAGGGATGACATTTACACAATGACAGTTGTCTCTGTTTACATATATAACAAAAATGATGGAAATAAATCAAAAATATGATATCAAAATTATGAATTTATTGTTCTTTAATGGAACCAAATTACCTTCAGTCATGGACAATTTGGACATCATTCCACAGTCCGCTAACTCACTGTATATTTATAATTACATGTCAGGTACATATGTGACCAGAGGCTATCGCATGGTATGCCATTCTCACATGCACTCACACATGCACTTCATAGGTATCTTGATGTTTTACAAAACGTTATTTTCACAGAGTAAGTACACTACATTTGTAAACACGATTTAATCCACAGAAACTCCCTCAACAGCGAAAATCGTAACGAGCTTATGAACTTGTATAAGCACGTGAGGTCGGTACGTCTGCACTCCATGTGTTTCCTGTATGACCTTCTTGAGGTCGTCTGGTCTCATGTCACTGTCTTCCCGTGAGTCTGTTGAGTTGATATGGAAATAATGGGATTAGAGAAAAACATTATCCCTTACCCTTTGGGGTGTGACAGAGATATTTCCAATCCCCGGGTGAATTCTGGTTTGGCAGAGCTTCAAGCTAGACAAGTGAAATTTCGCCCCGCTGGCTAAAAATTTTTCTGGCACACCCTCAAAGTAAGGGGAAAACTATATAAACTCCTGTAAGCAAGACCCGAGGGTCAGGGTACTTTATAGGTCTGCTTAAAGGATCCATTCCCAATTGAAAAAGTGTCTGATTTTTACCCCTTAAAAATTCCTAATTGGGAAAGCTTAAAAAAGTAATGCATAAATATATATAATTTCCTCGCGATTGACTGAGTTCGCAAAATACATAGTATGTAGGAAGGACAGAATGATCACGGCATCATAAAGACCGGCTTAAATAAAAGTTAACGAATCTGATTTCATGTATTCAGAGTTGGAATAATGATTATAGAGATTTTCCAAAATAGCTATTATGTCAATGATTTTACCCAATTTCCTCCCATGCCTGGGTCTGTTTCTCATAAACCCCTGTTGTGATAACAAAGTTTATTTTTACTTTAAGGTGTGGCACCCACAGGAAAATTTGACGAGCAGACAAAGCAGTACAGACACATTAAAGAGATGGTACCAGAATTCATCGTTCCAGATCTGAAAGGTTTTAAAGTATGTATGTTCAGTGTGAAGTCTGTATTTGTGATATGTGCTGATGTAAATTTGTTCTACTACGTAAGTCACTGTCTGTCACACTTTATGGGAAAAAATGTTTATCAGTCTACATTGGCATGCCATATCATACCACAGTACAAAAATAAAATATCGCTGAATCACAATATTTTTCAATAACTTGTATTAGCTCACTTGGTTCAAAGGACTAAGGTGAGCTTATGCCATATTCTGCCATATCTGTCCGTATGTCCGTCCATCAACAATTTTGTCATCCCCCACCCAATAACCATACATATGTATATATATATACCATTTCTGGGCATCAAAAGACGAACATAATCATAATATAATAGACTCTTGGGTCTGGCCCCACCCCTAAGGACTTAATTCGATTCCTGAGCCATAACTTTGAAATGGTTGAGATCCCAACCCCATTACCATGTATACCATTGCTTGGCATCAAGACACAAACACAATTATGATTTTGGATTGATCTTGAGGTCCGGCCTTACCCCTAAGAAATTAATTCTTGTGTCATAACTTTTATATGGTTGAGATCTCTACCCCATAGCCATATTTAACATTGTTGGGCAGCAAGAGACAGCCTCAGTCATGATATTTATATTGACACTTGGGTCTGGCCCCACCCCTAGGGACTTAATTCCTTGGCCATAACTTCAAAATGGTTGGGATCCCCACTTGTATATGTTTGATAGGTATAAAGAGATAAACACAATCATAAATTAAAATTGACCCAGGGGGTCTGGCTCAACCCCCTCCCTAGGGACTTAATTCTTGGGTGATAACTTTGAAACCGTTGAGATCCCCACCCCATAACCATACCCAGTCGGCAAAAAATGTCTTGAACACATTGCAGTTACGTCAGGATACAACGTTGCATTGACGTTTTCATGTAACGTTCACAAAATCTTTGTGTGTAACTTTTTGACAACATTCATTAACTTTGTATAAATGTTGTCACTATGCAATCACATAGATTTGTTACAAGTATCTTATTAATTATGCTATGCTGATATGATGAATCCCTGCACATCAGCATAGAATATATGTTTTGCAGACATTTGTAGCCATGTGATACAATCGATCAAATAACAACAAACACAGCTTAACAATGCAAGTGCAAAGTTTATTTTAAATGTCAGTTTGAATATGTTTGTTTATATCATCTACTTGAGTTAATAATTGTAGGAGTTTTTGACACAGTGCACATCACTTTTTTAGACGACATATTACGTTAAAGATTTAAGAATATTTTTTAAAACACAATAAATTCAAATATCGAAAAACAAATTGAAGATCACAGCTCGAGTTATGAAGCATTAATAATATGGTTTACAAAAGTATTTCTTGTTCAGATGATTGAAATCCATTAGCCCAGATCATTGGTCTTGAATATTCAAACTTGACAAAGCATTTGTCAGATGTTTACACAACTCTGTCGATTTGTTTGTGAACTGATATATTAAAAGGGTCAAAATGCAAACTGTATGAAAAAACTTTAACAATTACTTACCTAATGTAGTTGATATTGAAATATCTTCAAACATTCAGAGTGTGAAGCTAGTCATTAACAATTATCCAGTTCTGGATCGGGTGACACCCTATGACCAGTGGTCTGTTTGAATTGAAAGAGCGAACTTTTGTGTTATCTTTTCTTTCCATCTTTGTACACCAAGATAAACATTTGAAATGTAAATCATCATTCGTTAACGATAATATTAAAGCAACTTGGATGCTACCGATGCCAACGATAAACGAAACAAATTTCTTTCATTTTATATTGGATGCTACCTACTTTTCTTAATGCCACGCATTGGTAATTATATATATATATACCCAGCGGGCACTTGGAAAGTCCGGAAAACGTCTTTTTTCTGGTCACAACGTCCATGACTTAAAAGGAACGTTGTGAGGACGTCTTTTTCCAAATGTCTGTTCAACATCTGATGCCTTTCCGGTGGTCTTAATGCCACGCATTGGTAATATACCCAGCGGCCACCTGGAAAGTCTGGAAAACGTATTTTTCTGGTCACACCGTCCATGACTTAAAAGAAATGTTGTGAGGACGTCTTTTTCCAAATGTCTGTTCAACATTTGATGACGACATTGTAGGTTGATATTTACAAACTCAAAATTTGAGAAAAGGATTTCAGGAGGTTAGATTTTGGGTCTTGATCATCAATATTTTATTTCATTTACAGCTGAAGGCGTACGTGCCATGGGGAATTGACGATGTGAAGCAGTCTGAGTTCACACCCAGGGATCTGTTTTTCGCAACATATGCCAAGGACATTAAGACCGACTTTGAAGATAACAAGTTGGAGCTGGAGGATTCAAAGAAAGACAACTCTTGATGTCTGGACTAATGTTATGCTGAATTGAGAAAACATAAATCCTGGTGTCTAGTTTCACAGTGACTCTTGCCCCTGAGAGAGCTAGCAGATTGGCTTCATTCACAAAGCATTTCGGTTGAGGTGGTCTTTCGGGCAGATTACTCTCGATGGTGAAAGGGCCAGGATCAGGATCTTTTTGACAGCTGTGAAAGGGGGACCTGGGTATTCATTTCTTTGTTTCCAAATGAAATTTTGAGGAATGTCTGACCCAAGTCGTTTTTTTGTTGATAAATTGTACATACGTTAAATATCCTCATACACTTAATCCAAAAATGTGTTATGCTAGAAAGTGTACTTGATAAGGCATGTCATAATGACATTGTACCAGAAAACATCTTGATTGTTTCTTATAGCTTCATTTAAAAAACAATAAAATACTTTTGCATTCTTAATAAATTGTTATTTATTCAGTTTTGACAAAAAAACCAGCACTTCGCATTGATTTTATTTTGTCATTTAAAAAAAGATATGATAATGCCAGTAAGGCCAAACTACGCTGTAGAGTATATGTTGAGTTTCTGCTGTAGAATTTATTTTAGGTTTAGTTGGTCATCAAAATAATTTTGTATCATCTTCTTGTTTAAGTTTTCCCTGATATGGTATAAAGTAAAACCTCCATATAATGCCCCTCATTTTATTAGCTAACCTGGCCCAAAGGGCAAGTGATCATGACCTTATGCCATGGCGCAGCGTCCGTCGTCCGTCCATCAACTTTTCCTTTAAAACGCTACTAGTCCTGAACGGCTTAGTGGATTTTAACTAAATTTGGTCTGGAGCATCCTGTGGCCAGGGGACAAATAGGGGAAATAGAGGTAAAAGATTTAAAATCCTTCTTCTTTAATGGGGATTAAGGGATTTTTAGCTCACATGGCCAGGAGCAAACTGGGATGAAGGGATACCAAATTTGTTTTAAAAAATATGACCTTCACCCATATTCAAGGTCACAGGTCAAATATGTTAAAAACTTTAAACAACTTCTTCTGAATAACCAAAATGCCCAGGTCACAGGGGTCAATTGTCTTAAACAACCTTGAAACCACTTCTTCTGAATAACCAAAAGGACCAGTATGGTGATATTCGGTCAGTATCCGCGTAGCATGCTGGGATGAAGGGCTACCAAGTTTGTTCAAATAGATGACCTTCACCCATATTCAAGGTCTTCTGAATAACCAAAATGCCCAGGGTGATGATATTTGGCCAGTAGCATGCTGGGATGAAGGGCTAGCTACCATGCAAGTTTGTTCAAATGAATGACCTTCATTCATATTTAAGGTCACAGGGGTAAAACATGTTTGAAACCCTTAACAACTTCTTCTGAATAACCAAAAGGTGCATGATGATGATATTTGGCCCATAACATGATGGAATGAAGAACTACCAAGTTGGTTCAAATGAATGACCTTGACATTTATTCAAAGTCACAGGGATCAAATATGTTCAAAAATTTTAAAAAAAACTTCTCCTAAATAACCAATAGGCCCATGATGTTGATATTTGGCCAGTAGCATGCTAGGATAAAGGGCTACCAAATCTGTTCAAATGAATGATCTTGAACTATATTTAACGTCACATGGGTCAAATATGTTTAAAATGTTTATGCAAAGGATGATGAAATTTGGCCAGTAGCATGCTAGGATAAAGGGCTACCAAGTTTGTTCAAATGAATGACCTTGAATTACCCAGAAATTTAAAATTCTTCAGGATTTGTTTGACAGTTCTGTCAATTTTACAGTTACAACACTGCAACCAGTGGCGTAGCAAATCATTTTTCAGAGTGTATGTTTACAGAGGGTGGGGTGAATTGCGCCAGGGAAGGGGGAGGGACCATATATCCGCATAGCTGATTTTTTTTTCTACCAGGCACTAGAAACAATCTCCCGTGTTCTGGGAACTCCTTTTAGACTGATTATTAACAAGGAAAACGAGCCTTTTTATATAAATAATAGTAAATTTTGTACTTCACTAAGTAGTTTTTGAGATTTGCCAATGTTTATAGTCATAACATAACACTAGTCTATCAGACTAAAATTTTCAAGAAGATTATTATACCCCCGCAACGAAGTAAGTGAGTGTATATTGGAATCGCCCTGTCCGTCTGTCTGTCGTCCACAGTAACTGGTCCGGAGAACTCCTCCTTAACTAACAGGTGGATTTCATTGAAACTTTGCATGAATGATCAGTATCTTATGTTGTTGTGCACTGGCATTTTAATTTGGGATTTCGACCCTTTTTAGGTCACCTGAGCTTTGCTCAAGTGACCTATTCTAATCGCTTTTCGTCCATCGTCGTCTGTCGTCCGTCGTGCGTAAACTTTTACATTTTCAACTTCTTCTCAAGAACCAGTGGATGAATTTTTTTCAAACTTGGTCAGAATCATCCTTGGTAGATGAGGCTTCAAAATTGTAAAATTGGGATTCCTACCCCAACCCCTGGGGCCAGGGCGGGGCCCCAAAGGGAAAATTAATCAATATTTCAAAAATCTTCTTCTTCAGACTCAGAGGTACTACACTCATTTTCTCTACGTGGAAAGAAAGATAATCAGGGGCTTTACTTAAATTGTAAATTTCAGGACCCCCGAGCTATCCGTTCTCCCTTGGGGAGGGGGTAAAGTTTACTATAGTTTATATAGGGAAATAACACTTTTGGGTATATTTTGACAACTTTCTGTAGGAAATTATTTTTACTTGGTGAGAATTATCCTTGGAGGTAGATGGTTTCAAATTGTAAAATTGAGATTCCTACCCCGACCCCTGGGGCCAGGGCGGGGCCCCAAAGGGAAAATTAA